AGCACGCATCCTCTGTACTTGATTTTTCTGTTCTATCTATCTTTCTATCTATATTTCTCTTTTGCCTTTCTGTCTCTTTGCACACAACACGCACAACGATTGAAAAAGTATCAACACTCCACTTACAGTATCTGACCGATCGATATCTCTCGCCTGCCCTGAAGTGGCGATGAAGACATGCACTGACAACACACAGATGTTGCCAGTCAGTTCAGTCGCTACCCCTCCCTCTCTCACTGAACACATCCCACGCTACATGAGGCAGCGATTGCATTGAAAGGATAAAGATACTATATACAAAATCAGCAATATTAACCATACTATCGGAAAGAGACATTGCATCAATTGCCCGCAAGAAGAAGCGGACACAACTCATCCAGCCCGGCCACGCCCTCTCCCTCTCTCCCACATGCACACATACAGCCAGATAGCCAGACAGACAGACAGACAGACGGGGAGAGAGAGAGAAAGAAAACGAGCACGTCGGCATAGTACACCACAACACATCCATAGGCCAGTGACGAAAACACAGTTATTGTGCACACAAACAGCTGGGCACACAAACAGCCAACGCACACAGTAAGTCTTAGTTAGTAGATCAGAAGTCTGGTTGGAAGATGGCATCCAAGTCGTGCAGTTTCTTCACCAACGGCACCATTGATTTGCTGCAGCAGATAACGACACGACAGATAAACAATGAGTTGCTGTAGCGCGTGTGGGATCAGCTTATCAAACTTACTCGTATGACCCGTCTGATGTCACCAAGAAGACCGGCTTCTGACCTTGAGTCTTTTCCAGCGTCTCCACGAAGTCGCCATCCTTCAGTGCACAGGAAATGGAGAACGATCGCATCACAGATTGCCATAGATAAACGAATGTGTGCAACATACCCCAGCCACGAAGACCACCGCTGCGATCTCGGGGTCGTCGGCCATCTCTTTCAGCTTGTCAGCGATTGCGATGTCAGCACCCTTCTGTTGACGATTTGACTTCAGCCTACACGGAAGAGGGGGCAGGTGCGTCTGTTCTCTCGCCATGATGTGTGTGCCGCATCTCACATACTTGGCCTCATGGATTTTCGCCATGTGTTCAATGCCCTTGTGGAAGTTCTTGAGAGCTTTCTGGGCTGCCATGGTGCTCATGTCGTCGGGCCGTGTGCTCACCACATAGGTGCTGTTGGGGGTGATCTCATACTGAGGCCATTTGTAGCCGAAGCAGCTGATTAGGTACTGGAAGCCCTCGGGCGTCATGGAACGTTCCGTGAGGGCAACATGCCTTTTGTCCAGGAAGGCCGAGTCGATGATCACGGCAGCAGCTCCTCGACTGCACACACACACATTACTCACCTTACTCGCTCTCTCTGCCTGGCAGTCATGGAACCTGTTCATGGTCGTTGCTGGGGGTCCGTTCAGAGGTGGTGGAGACACACGACCCGGCGTGGGTGTGGGTGCGGTAGGTGTGGCTGTGCGGGGCGGCGTGCCAGCGGAAGGCAGTCGCCCTTGGTACTGCTTCTTGATCGCCTCTAGCTCCCTGAGGCACTTAGCTACGGCATCCGGCTGGTCTGTAGTGTTATCACACAGAACGGAAGGGACATGTGCCTGTCGTGGCCTTCGTGTGTCTCTATCTATATGGGCTGACCTTTGACTTTGATAATTGTGCTGTTGTCGTTTCGGTGGGGGATAGAAATGTCAATCACATCTGACACATAAGCGTTTTCAGCACAAGGGGCATGTGTTTGGTTCATCCGGCCTTCCAGTGATGTGCGTACCCCGTCCGCCGCATCGATCGCGCAGGGCCGTGACGGTCGAGCCGCCCTTGCCGATGTAAAGACCAGCCACGTCCTGCACTCATACACCATACGCACAAGAGAGGCGCGTGTGTACGTGCTCCGCCGGTTCCGTGTCTGTGTGTGTGTGTGCGTGTGTGTGCATGGGTATCTCACCGATGCCTCCATGTCGAACGTGGTCTCGATCTCATTCCCGCGCAATTGCTGTGGCCGACCAGAGCAGCTGCCACTACCGAGATCTGACCACACACACAGAGAGGGAGAGAGAGAGGGGAAACGCAGCGGACACACCACACACAGAGGCGTCAGTCACACACGAGGGATGCTCAGTGGCTCACCATTGGGTGCCGTGAATGGGAGTCTGGGCGGATTGTCGTCCTTTGCAGAGCTCCTGCACGCGGCAACCAGGCACGACACACACCGCAGTCAGTGGCTGTCCCTCGCACCGATGCCGATCTCACCTGGTTGCTTGTGGTGGCCGACATACCTCAGGATGGTCCCTGCATACCAAGTGCACAAGTGGATTGTATCGTGAAGTAATCGACCATTCGTCTCTGCCATACCGCAAGTAGTCGAGTTCCTCCTGAGTATGTGCAGCGTGGCAACCGTCGCCATGGCGGCATTTGCCTCTCGGTTTCAACGAATGAGGTGTGGTCAATGTGGCACTATAGTGCCGTTCTGTGGCGTACCTTGTTTGTGGAACTTGCACCACTCCGGTATGCGCTGCCGCAGATCCTGCCGTCCATGAGCGAACGGACAGCGATCGCCTCGCTCGCACAGTGCCCTGCGCAGCCACTTTTGGCAGAGCTTGGTCTTGAAGTTCTGGGCTGTGCTCTCTGTGTTCTCGTTAGTTGATCTGACCAACACACACACACACACACAAAGACACAGACCACACACACACGCATTCGTGCGTGTGTGCACACTTATTGCCATCATCGCACCGCGTATCGCTATCTCCATCGTCCGTTGAGCTGTCCAAGGAGAAAGGGGTACCCGCCGGCATACTGATGGCGTCGGGGATGTGTTGCGACGAAGGAATAAGGACGTATAATGGATAATAATATAAAGGAGAGGCAGTGTAGGAGCAGACAGGCAGCCTATTGCAGTTTGTTTAGAAGACAGTCTACTAAATCCTAAAAGGGACAGCTCGCACAAGCTCGCATTCCGTGAAACCGTTGTTTGTCGAGGCCCGATCCCATCACATCACCTCGAGGTCATGGAGGACTGGACTCAAGCAGATCTGACCACCAGGTGATGCCGCCGCACACAGATTCTTTGGCTGCTGGCCGATATGCTTGTGTGCTCTCAGGCTTCGGGGGGCCACCGAATCGGCTGCCCTGAAAGGGCTGATCTGAAGGAGGCCCTCTGATGGATGATTCAGGCAGATCTGGCCCACAGGGAATGTGGGGCTGCGATTTTCATGATGATCCCACGGGAGCCACCGAATTGGCCGAGGAGCATAACGATGACACTCACACACAGGTGGGTGCAGCGATGGAGTCAGTGGTGCTGATGTGAGTCTGTTCCTTACCCTTTGGTCACAGGTGGCAGACGGTGGTTGTGCTGCCGCGGCTGCAGCTCCTTACTACGGCTCATATTATCAGGTGGGATTCCCGACAGTCATTGGATGGCATCTCTTGACCTCTGTGTGTGTGTGTGCGTGCTGCAGCCATTCGGCGGTGTGCCTGGGAGTGCCGCTGGTGGTTTGGGGACTCAGTCGCATCCCAGTGAGCCGCAATCAGGATGTGACCCTGCAGCCGACGGATACGCATCAGGTAAGCGGACACGCAAGGCGCTCCGATTGCCGTGCAGGCAAAGATGCAACCGTCGATTGTGTGGTGGCTGTAGGTGACGCTGAGTGCTTTGGTGGGAGTCAGCCATTGGGACATGTGAGCCCACCAGACGATCCTCTCGATGGCCTGCATTTGCTCTTTGGAGACGACGACCATCCCGCCCATGCCACAGCGGGCCCCTTCATGCAGCAGCAGACACCGCGGGTGAGAAAACGAACGAAAGAGACTCACTCGTTGATATGATTGTCTTCTTTGTGTGTGGTCAGTATCCTCACCCTCACTATGGCTTCCCGCCGTACCAAATTCCCCAGCTGGCGCCCACTGCGGGAGATGCCCCTAACGTATGACTCTGATTCCTCCCACCAATCCATTCACTCACTGCCCGTCACATAGCCTCTCTTTGTTTGTGTGTCCTGCAGTTGTCCACTGAGAGGGCACCGGAGGTCACTATCGGCGAGCGGCTGCAGCTGGTGGACGACTTCGATAGGCGGCTGCTGTCGGGTGAGCGTATCAGCATGGCGAAGTTCGCGAAGGAGAAGGGCCTTACGCGTGACCAATTCAAGCAGTGGTACTATGCTATCAAGAGGCAGCGGGAGGAAGGCAAGCAGATCATCGATCCGAACAAGAAGCGCAACAGACAGCCGCAGTACCGGCAGATTGAGGACGAGATGAGGCAGTGGATGGCTGAGCAGCCTGACCCGATGAGTGTCCCTCCGAAGGACATCAGAGAGAAGGCGATGGAGATCAAGATTCGGCTGGGCGTCAGAGGCTTCTCGGCGAGCGACAGCTGGGTGAAGGGTTTTAGAAATCGATACAGACAGGTGGGAAAGAAGAGACAGGCACGACAGAGGTCCGCCATGGTCTCAGAATCTCGATCTCATTGTCTGGCCAGGACCCTCCCACACCAGCTGAGCCCCCTGCGGCTGCCGCTGCTGCTGCAGCTGGCGATGACACCGACGGAATGACGGTAAGTGAAGAATGCATGCGGGTACATCGGTCCTGATGATGGTGGTGGCATTGTGTGCAGTTGATGAGCGATGAGGAGTTCGAGACGGCCGGACAGGAGCTCCTTGAGGCACTGCATGGGGCAGTCGACGACTCGGCAGAGGAAGAGGCACTTATCACTCGGCTGCAGACACAGTCGCCACAGGTCAGCCGAACGCATCCACGTGTGGGAGCGGGCGAAGATATGAGTGCGCTGTGTGCGGTCATCAGGATATTGGGCGACTGGTGTGGCGGCTGGATGGCGTGTATGCCGACCAGTCGCTCACCGATGCAGTAAGGAACCGAGACATGTGACTGACAGGGCTGTGCTCTATCTTCCTCTGCATCTTTCAGGTGCGTCTCCTCGCTGCACGCGTCAGTGGACATCTGCGACAGGTAACCACATGTGTGCCGAGTGCGTCCATTGCATGCAGACGACGTTTGACGGTTGGCAGCCATCGAGCACTAATGTACTGCCGTCACTGTCGATATCCTTCCCAGCACACGGCCCCCCACCTCCCGTGGCCGCATCGGCTTCAGCCGCTGCGGGCCCCCCTCCTGCGATGCATCCCCTTCACCCCCATTTCCATCCCATTCCCCTCACTGACCAGTCAGAGCCACGTTCGCATGCGGTTGCTGCAGCTGCGGCCGCTTTCAGCACCCAGCTGGCCCATCTATCACCACTGCAGGGCCAAACAAGCGAGGCAGCAGCCGCCGCCAGCGACCAGCCGGCCGACGGCACACCATCAGAGCGACAAACCATGAGCGTAAGCCAAAAGGCCAAGAGCGATGAGCTTTCTGACGACTGAGCTGTCCCTCTCTGTTGTCCGTCAGGTGGTGCCGTCTACGAGCAGACAGACCAACGAGAGAGGGCCCCCGACAAAGATCCGCAGGGATGAGAATCGCAAACACCGTGAAGGCGCGCCGTCTGCGGTGAGCAGACATAGGCCGGCAGACAGTGGTGTAGGAATTGTGGTTGTGTGAGACGTGTGCAGGTTCTGTCTCGTTCATCAGTTAAGTCGGGCGTCAGCAACACTGTCGACGACCGGCTGAGTGACATTCTGGAGGTCAGAGAGACACAGAGGACCGGACAGACAGACAGACAGGCAGACAGCGCGACCTAGGTGTTGTACATCTCTGGTATGTCGTCAGGATGATAACGTGATTACTGTGGCTGACGATGTGGATGGTGATGTTGTGACAGCCCCACAAGACACGCCGCTAGGCTATGTAAGACCCAGGATGACACAAGGAAGGCAAACAATGTGACCGCCGTTGTGTGCAGATTATTGTTGGCAGCAGTCTGAACGCGACTCAGTGCGCGGCTCTCCGCTCCCTCTTTGTGCCGTCTCTGTTCGAGGAATGTGATTTCAAATTGTTATACAGGTAGCAGACACAATTCGACACATTAACATCGACAGTGACGTCATCGATTGGTTCGTTTCTCCGGACATGTCTATCAGGGCTTCCCGCGACGGGCCATTGTATAATGACTTTCTGCGGTGTGTCGGCGATGCAAATGGCCTGGTGTTTGTAATGAAAAAGAGCCAGTACGTGTTCGGCGCCTGTATAAGTCAATCCATTAGGCTGCCCACCGATGCAGCCGCCGTCAGCGAGTATGGGTGCGATGGATGGCATTTCTCTCTTTCCGGCCACTTCGAAGGAGCGAAAACGATGATGAAATGTGGGCAGTCAGTGTGGGTGGCCGGAAGACAGGGGGCAGTGTATGGGCTGAGCAAAGTGAGGATCTGGTTTCTGTGTATGGGTGCTGGTGCTGATATGCGGAAGTGCTGTCAATTCATCCCGTGCGACCATGTGCCTGAGGGCTATGTGGGGGTGAGGGATGAGCGTGGCGATGCCCTCTTTGGGGGCAGTAGGCACTTCATGGCTGATGAGGTCGAGGTCATTCGCGCCGGCCCCCTATCAGTCGTCTCTCCTAAGGTGACACACACATACACACACACACACAAATTCACAATTCACACACACACACACACACACACACAGAGAGAGAGAGAGAGGGGAAAAGTGATGTTGTTGTCGCCTGTCGTGCCATGCTTCAGTTGGTCGATGACACTATATTGGATCCCATCCAATGCGCGGCACTCTACGGCTTTCTCGACCTAGCGACGGGGGATAGTCTAAGGGTTATCTACAGGTACGTCTGCTCATTCACATCGCTGATTTCATCTATCTCTTCCTTCCACTGTGCAGAGCGGCTCGTGACGGGCCGTCGTATGGTGACCTTCTGCATCGTGTGGGCGACTCGAAGCGCCTGGTGCTCGTCGTCAAGAAGGAACACTACGTATTCGGGGCCTATATGAGTGATGCCATCAAGCCGCCCGATGACCCAAGAGCCTTCAACCACTATGAGTGTGACGTGTGGGAATTCTCGCTGGCCGGCCACTTCGACCAACCCTCCCGGTGGCCAGTGGAGATGGCCATGGGGGAAGGCAGGCAGTCGGTGGGGGTGGCTGGATGGAGGTCACCGCATTGGCCGAAGCTGTGTATTGGTTGGGGGATGAGGATCGGTACTTTTGACCGCAAGGGTATCTATTTTGACCGCAAGGGTAATTACCTGTCGAGTTCTGACGATGTGCGCAGCTGCTCTCACGCGATCGTGAGCCGACGTATTCCTGAGGGCTATGTGGGGGTGAGGGATGAGCGTGGGGATGCCCTCTTGGGGGGCAGTGAGCACTTTATGGCTGATGACGTGGAGGTGCTTTTGGTGTCACCACGAGCGACGGTTAAGAAAGAGCGTCCTGGTCTTTCTCTTCTGTCCGCACTGTTTGGTGGCGGTGAGACATTCACGTCCGGCTACGTTTCGTCGAGCTGGGGCGTCACTGGCACTTGAGGGTTGTGCAGATGCGGTTGATGGACTGTATCTTGTCTTCTGTGCTCATGCGCTGTTCGACAATGCTGTCTGCCGTCATCTTTACTGCTGTCGATGTGCATGTATGTGTGGGGTTGCGGCATCGAGGCCGGGGGGATGTTACATCAGTCTCTCTCTGTCTCTCTCTCTGTGCGTGTGTGTTTGTGTGTGAGCTGTGAGTGGCGACATGTTCGACTGCACGAGACGATTCTCTTCCCATGGCCAATTCATGTCAATTGAATGTGTGAGTAAGTGCCAATCATTCGCCAGGTCCACACACACACACACACACACACGCCCAGATATGTATACACACGATACATACAGGACCTACTCAGGCGTATGTATGAGTGGATGAATGGATGTCTCACTTTGCATCACATCACATTTCCAGTCTGTCTTGTCATGAATGTGACCAATGGATCCTACTCAATCAATCACTCAATCGAAAGCATAAGTGACCTCCAAATAAGGTTGCCACGTCCACGAATGCGTGTGGGGCGCGTCAGGCATTGCGTACTTGTGTTCAGGGAAGGGTTTGTGTTCGGTCATGGTGGCCATCCACTTGTCGAAAGAATCCTGACCCACAACCTGCACGCACAACACAGAAGAGAGTCTCTCTCACGCGCTCACTCGATGTCCGCAAGGCATGAGGACCACACATTGTGTACAATGAACACCGTCACCGGCAGCAGCTGGGCCAGCAGCTGTGCTCTGGGAGAAGGGCACAGCTGACGACGACGCACTGGCCGAGTGGCGGAGCTGTAGCTGTCGTTCGATGGCGGCCTGGTGCAGCTGGGTAAGACGGTGCTGCTTAGAGGAGAGGTCATCGAGCAGCCGAGACACTGACGGCAGATCGAGAGACGACACACTATTAGCACTAAGACGACTGCACACAAGAGGGAAATGGACACATGCTCACCGCTGCTGTCGGGGTGTGTGTGTGGTTCCTTGCCTGTGTGGTGGTTGCGTCAATGACAGCTGTTGTTGAGTAACTCTTGCTCGGCATCAGCACGCGCAGCCCTGCACGCAAATGACATCAGCAGCCTCGACTTGTGTTTGCAAACCCTCCCCCTCCCTCCGCACCTTTCTCCCTCAGCGCCTTCAGCTCCCTCAGGTCATCCCTCTCGCATCTCAGGCTGATGGTGAGTGCTGCATCACCAGCTGGACGGGGTCGGTGGCTGGGGGAAAAACGGGGAGACGGGAAAATCGCCAGTCTTGTCCGCTCGAATTAAGCGATCTTCCCATGACAGGCTGGAAAAAGGCAGCAGGTCAGCCTGACATGGCAACACACACGTAAAGTTTCGCTCCCTGCCGTTTCCTCCCCCGCTCACCTCCAGCAGGTCGGCGATGCCCTCGAGGAGGATCAGGAGAAACCACATCTCGACCGACAGCACCCTCTGCGGATGCGCCTCAGACCCCAGCGGTCCAGCCGCCTCACGCACGGCCCTCACACACGCGTCGAGCCTCCCATCCCTGCTGGCCTCCCGCAGCGTGCCAAGATCAGCCGCTGCATAAACGTGGTCACACACAAGACACCGCAGCCCGTGGCGTTGGCCAGTGTGTGTGCAAGCCGCTGGAGATGGCCTCGATGCTGTTTGGACAAGCGCCATTTGATGAAAGCCACTGGTGCGCGGCGCATCTGCCACCACACGGAGCTTCTCCTGTGGTTCGGCCGATCCAGTCGTCGAAGGAGTTGCCTCATCCTGATCGCCATCTTGACTCACATCCGCCTGTTTCTTCTGTGCATTTCCACAACGACTGGCACGTCGACTGCATTTTTCAGCCGCGCCCTCCTCAGATCATGAATGCAGAGGCGACGTTTTCTTCTTGCTGCTCTCACACAGACAGGCGGGACAAGCAGCAGATCCGCCTCGTACTGCGACTGCAAACAGGCACCACAAACAGCACCTTGCGGTCATGGCAGCCACTGGCAGATGTACGCTCCCTCACCTGCTGATGTTATTCTCGCAAGCAACGCGAGTTTTGAGCCGCATCCCACCCCTGGAAGAACTCCCGATCGGGCGGCCGTCCTGTGGTCATTGTTGGTCAGTGTTGTGCGTCTCTGCGTCGGCTTCCCTATTCGGCAGACATTGATCCATCGCTCTCTCTGATTCATCGCATCTGTTGGATCCGTCATGGTCCATACGAGGAGCGGCCGGGACGTACCCGCGCCTCCCCCTCACAAGCGACCTCACTGTACCAAGCGTCTGGCTGACTTCACGCCCGACCAACAAGGCAAACCGAAGCGGCATCGATACCGTCTCTCTGTCAAGGACTTCTTGGAGGGGGAGGCGGGCGCGCCAAGCAGCAACTCATCAGAGGCTGGTGCTGTTGATGACGAGCGTCAAGTGGTGCTCAACGACTGCTCGGTGGGCATCAGCTTTCCCGCCGACACGAATGACGTCAGCGAGCGTTTGGTTTGTCGGATTCTGCGGCGGAACATCACGGGGCGGGGCGTGTCGAGGCTCATCGACAAGGGGGCGGATGCGAGGCTGACAGTGAGGGTCATGGGCATGAGGGTGCCAACCCTCAGGTGTCGCGACCACGGCACATCTCCTCAGTTGGGTCTGCTTCAGTTGGCGATTGACGACCCCACAGGCAAGCCAACAAGGCAGCTACATCACATGTGTCGCGTACTTTGTGGTTGTAATGTCTTGATTGGCATTGATTGCCATCAGGTGCGTGTCCTGGGCTCAACTGGGAACATACAAGGTTTACGAGTGAGGCCGGCACGCCCATTGTTCTTCCCCAGTGGCCAACTTCCGAGCGACAGAGGGAGGTCCTCGAAGCGCTCATTGTGGGGGGAGCACCTATTGGCAAGAAGTCGATCACGACTGCCTTCCAGAAGGCCAACCACCCTGCTCTCGACACGTTTCTCAGCCACACTTGCGGTGGAGACCTCATTGACGGGCAAGCGCTCTTCTTCGTCGTCAACAGGCCTTGTCCGCCCAAGGACGTCTATGAGCAGTACTTCGACGCTCTTCTCCCGTGCATTCGCCGACTACTCGAGCACGACAGCAGCCTGGCGACCGAGGAGTTGCATTACAGATTTCTGCCCATTCACTCAGTGGCTGATCATGCGTCTTTCACCAGGAACTTCACAAGTGAGCCGGCATTGTCAATCACACACATGCACTGACAGTGTGGTTAAATGTGTGTTTGACTTTTCAGTTGGTTTCTGCGAGCTGCTCTACGAGTTCGGCTCCCCAATCAACAGCAAAGAGGCCTCATTCCATGATATGAGGCCGTTTGACCAGGCAAAAGGCGCCGACGAGCCCTGGTTACTGGAGTTCCTGTGCAAGCGTCTGCCAGCTAGTGTCCTCGTGAGAACAGACCCTGAGCTAATGCGCTTTTTCATTGGTGGGGCGACCAAGGAATTGGAGAAACGTTACAAGAGGGGGGCAGAGGCGGCCAAGGAGAAGATCCGACTGCTGTTGCGTGTCGGCGTGCCTCTACCAGCTGCCCCCATCGCTACCACCAGGAAAAGCGATCCAGCACTCAAGGCAGCCAACCGTGAGCGTCAGGAGATCAAGCGTGAGTATGTCTGCGTCCTCAACGAGATTCCTCATGACGTCATGGACACCGTCAATGCTGCCCTGAGGCCCCAACGTGAGCTGGCCGCTCTGCTCACCGATCTGCTGCCCCTCGCGCCTCACAATGACGGCCCCCATAACGATCCCGTCCCCTCTCTTCTTCACTTCGGCCCACAAGAAGAAGCGGCGATCGCCTGGCGGATCGCAGCACTGTGCTTCGACACCGACACTGCTCACCAGACCGTCAGCGACATTCGGCTCCGCCCCCATAGCAAATTCGGCCATCGCGTCCACGAAGCAATGGACCACTTCGTCGCCTCTGCTGTCTTTCACGCGAGCGGCAACACAGAGGTGGTCGGTGGGAGGCACGAGGAGGAAGGCCAGGTGGTCCATGCCCCACCACTGCAGTGCTTCGCCATACGGGGGCAGGAGGGTGGGCAGCATCGTGTGTTGGGTCTACGGGAGGTGGTCCACGGGGCCCGGCTTGATGAAGCGACGGAGCACGGCCTGAGGGGCGTGGTCAAGGGCTTCAACGAGCACCTCGGCGATGCGGACTGTGAGCTCGAGTGGGACGGGCTGGGCTTTATCGACGATGCGGGTGAGTTCGTGTCGATGGCGGACCGCTTTGCCGTGCCTGTGATTGAAGAGGACGAGAGGGAGAGGGAGAGCGAGAGCGAGAGTGATGAGGACAGTAGTATGGACGAGGACTCAGATGATGACGAAGACGGTGACGAGTCGATGTTGGATTAATCTGAGAGAGGAAAGGAGCTGGAATGGGGTGGGTGTGAGGGATTGTATGTATATGAGTAAATTGCCAACGGTGTTTACAGGTATCTGGACTGCACGAGCAGCATCATTCTTGCTTTTCATGTATTCGCCGGCTGGGTGGAGAACACTTTGACCTGTGTAGATGCCACTATTTTTTGCCGTCCTGTTGTGGCCTGCTGCACCCCGTGTTGACGAATATGTGTGAATGCGTGTGTGTGAGTGTCCTCAAGGTCTTGTGGATGGATTGTGGGAAGCATTGATACGATAGATATACATATACACACCGCATACCACATCACGTCACACCACGTCAAACACCTCTTTTTGCTGCTACTTCGCAGCGGCACTGACACGACAGACAGCACAAGCATTATACCAATAGTATCTATGCAATGCAATGCAGCCAGGGCCTAATCAATCGATGCAGACAACAACACGACAGCCAATTCAGCCGCGAGCAAGCCTTCTTTTGTGCGTATGTATGTGTGCACGTGTGAAGCATTACAACATGTCGTTCGTCGGCAGCAGCGATCGAAAAAGCAGAGAAGGGGAGGGAAGAGAGAGAGAAAAAGCCATTCTTACGGGAGAGAGGAAGCGGACGTACATAGGGAGGGATGGCCATTGCATGCATACAGAGTGGACTGTGTGGATAAACAATGGCTTTTGTCACGGGATGGGCACAAAGGGAGACACACACGTGTACTGATACATACGCACTTACACAGACAAACGGCCGATGGCATATATATGTATATATGGACATATGCACATGTGTACGTATGTACGTATACACATACTACGAGCACTGCGAACACGTCGCGAAGGAATCGATCGATCGATCGATCAACGCATGGCATAAAATGACGCCTAAAACTCTCGGACATACACACAACCAGCACGATACACAATACAGCATGAGCGCCCCCAGCCGGCCTGCCTTCATCTCTCTATATGTGCACCAATATTATAGAATGACCGACCGACCGACCGATGAAATTCCCGTCTCAAACACAGCCCACGAAAAGCGGTGAGAAAAATTACCAAACACACACACACACAGGAAGAGAGGGAGGGCTCAGGGGAAAAGGAAAATGCACCTGCACACAAATGCATGCGTGTGGATGTGTGTCTATGTGTGTGTGCGTGTGCCTGGACATGTGTGTTTTGTGTGTGTGTGCTCGCCTGAAAAGAGACACGTCGATCGCTCGCAGTCACCCGCTCGTGTCGGCTGCAGAGAAATACACAAATGCACACATCCATCCATTCACTCACCCACCAACGTGTGTGTGTATGTGTGTGTGTACGCGTGCACTGTGACGTCCCGAATGTGTCTCCCTTTCTGGCCCATGATAAAACCTCAGGCAATAAAGACGCGTGCCTGTAATATGGGCACGCACAGATCACGCCGATGCACGTCTCTGTGTCTGTGTGTGTGGTGGCGACGTATGTACTTTTGCGCAGCGGCTCTGGTCTGGAGGTAGCAAGTGCCCGTGTGGAATTCGTGGTAGAAGAAGGCGCACTCCTCCACTGATGTGCCGCCACCCACTGGCACACCTGCACCATACGCACACACACACACAGACATCCATCTGTCTGACTGCGTGGGTGTGGTGTGGGTTTGTGCTCACCAGTGCTGCATATCTCCTGGCAGATCTTGGCTGAGAGCGACCAGGCGACCGCACGGCCCTGCACACACATACACATACACGTGTGTGTTGATGGGTGGCTCGATGGATGTGTGTGATGGCGGGTTGGAGGTATGCGCACCTACCATGATCTGTTTGGTCACCGGATGCCAGCCATAGGTGTGTTTGAGCGCCGCCCCGTCACCATTCGCCAAGGACGCCTTGCCGAAATACCTGTCACGTCAACCGATTGCACACACACAGAGACATATATGAAATGCAATGCACCTGTGTTGTTTGTTCCCTCACCCGGCCAGTTGAATGCCCACCCCCTTCATCCACTCTTTGCACCGAATCTGTCAACACACACACACAGACACAGACACACACACACACAGAGTGAGAGGAAGAGAGAGAGATGGCTACCTACACATACGGGTGTCTGCGTACCACGCGTGTAGACTGCAGTATTGGCTTGAGCAATGTCGGCGCGGGCAAAGGCAATGTGGGCGATGGCCTGCACTCACCAATACAAATATCTGTGTGTGTGTGCGTGACGTGAGTGTCCATCCACCTGTTCTTTACGGGTGGCCTATCGTTGGTTTCTGTGTCCTGCTGACGGGATCTCCTATCGTCGCCACCATCATCCTTGGCTCCATCAGGCGCCTGAGACGCACCCATCCATACACACGAATAGACAGACACGCGTATGCATTGTGACATTTTCCCTCTCCCTCCCTCCCTCCCTCCTTGCGTACGCACCTGTTTCTCGGTGTCTTGCCGCTGCTTGGGTGTATCGGCTGACCCCTTCGCTTTCCCTGGTGCTTCCTGTTTGGCCTTAGCTGTGGTGGCCGGGGAGATCTCCACCCTCACCGACGCATTTGGGGTACCACCCTCTGGTGGTGCTGCTGCCGCCGATGTCTTCTCGTCTGGTTGCTCCTCCGTTGGTGTCAATGTGTCACCATTCTCCGCTGCCTCTAGGGATGACGGTGGTGGTGTGGCCACCTGCTGCTTTGTTGCTGTCGCTGCTGATGCTGCTGCTGCTGCTGATGCCGCTGGTGGTTCTTCTTCTGACTCGTCCCCTTGTGGCAGTGGTGGCAGGGTCTCCAAGACTCCTGCGCTGACATACTCTTGGTCGACGTCTCTCTCTCTCTCCCTCTCCCTTTCCCTCTTCCTCTGCGGCCGCCTGTGGCCCACCCTCACTCTCGCCCCTGGCTTGAGCGACACCACAGGCGATGCCATCACTATCGCCTCGCCACCGCCATCAGTATCGCCACCAACATCACCATTGCCACCAGCTGAGCGCAGCAATGACGACGACGGTGGCCGGCCCTGTGTGCCGGCGACCTCAGACGGGAGTGGGGGCGGCACGACGTATCTGATGCGGTGCTGGTGGTCTTTGTCGCTGTCTGTGGGAGGGGGTGAGGTGGCGAGGCAGACAGAGGGGAGGGAGAGGGGCCCGAGGAGGGAGAGGAGAAGGGCGAGGAGCAGAAGGCATGGACGACCTCGCCCAGGCGCCATCTTGTTCTGTACTATTATTTCGGACGCTGCTTAGCAGTCGAAGTGGTTTCAAAGTCGGTCATGCGTGTTGTGTGTCTGAGTCCCATACAGTACCCATACAATACTACCCCCCACAAGTGGGCCACAACAGCCCGTCTGCTCCCCAATGCACCGAGGGATGTCTCTTGAAAAACAACCACCACTCGGTCAACGGAAGGCCAGCCAGGATGAGGAAAGCGGCATCATGGCAAACACACACGTCGCATGCAATGCACCTCGGGCAGAAGAAAGGAAGACACTCTCTGCCAACAATCGACGGATGTCTGTCACAAAACAAACACCACAAAACAAAACAAAACAAACAAAACAAACGTCGCCACCACAGACATCATGCGTGCAGGCAAACAGGGAAAGACACCCACAGGCAAAGGCAAGAACCCGCACAATCATCTAACATGCGCCACCCACCCAGCCGGTGCAGCCACCCACCCTAGACTTCGCTAATGATCTCGCAATGTATTATCCCGTTGATGCCCTGTTCGGTGCCGCTGCTAGTGTTGCCGTTGTTGCCCTTGTTGCCGTCCCCGCCTTTGGGTTTCGGCTTCGGTGCCGACGTCTTCGGCTTCGGCGGCATGCTGCTGCTTGTGTTGCTGAAGAAAAAGGCGATGAGCAGTGACGACGAGAGATGGTGAACGAGAGAGCCCGGAGGAAGCTGCCAGTCTGGGTAAGGTAGGTAGCTGGAGATTGATCGACTTGTTTCTCTTTGAGTAGCGGAAGGTCAATTCCTGCTGTCTGTTCCTGCATGGGGCGACAGACGTTGACCAAAGTCATTCAATGAATGGCCGCATGTGTGTATGGTTGTTGGTTTGTCGTCTCGCGAGAGTCTCACCCCAGCCATCGATGGATGTCTCGTGCACCAAAAAATGTACACACACCAAACAATCTCCACCAACAACACCTACAGGGGAAGAAGTGCCACACACAGCTACAGGATGCATGAGGCCAGCTTTCACGAAAAGAGCACACCACACACAGACACACATACATATCCACTCGGGAGGCGCGCGCACACATGCAGTCGAGTCACGTGTCCATGTCCACCCTTCCCCCTCCCTACACTGTCTGCCTGTCTGCAGCATCTTGGCGCAAATCACGATGACACGCTGGCCCGCCGCCCACACACGCACGAGGCCACTTGACCAAACAGCCCACACAGACACATACAGATCTACGTGCATACGAGAAACAATCCATCCATCTATCCATCAGTGGCTCTCTATGTATGGTACACGGAGGTTCGTGCTCCTCGCCTGACGTTAAGCAAACATCCCTTCCACTTGTGGATGTGTGGATGTGTGTGTGGGTGATCAGCATGGTGTCACGTTACTCGTCGCCCGCCCCGCCAGTCACTCTCTCCGTCATGAACAGCACTGCCGCACGCAAATCGCCGCCATACGCCTGACACACTCACACACACACACACACATCCGTCCATCCATCCATTCATCCATGGATCTCTTTTTGCTCACCTGCAGGACGAGTATGTTGTGGTTTCGGTCAGGAAACCCCCTGCAGTGCAGGCATACACAGCCACAGCCACATACATACACATGTACCTACATGCAGTGTGCAGGTGTCGCGTGTGTGTGTCGGCTTACATCTCCCGCAGCACTGACAGCTTCTTCTCCATCTCACCATCAACAACAACGGGAGCCGGTGCAGGAACCGCTGCTGCCGCTGCCGCAGCTGCTGCTGTCGGCTGGTGGTGGTCATGGTGTGTGGGTGGGCTGATGGATGGGTAGAAGGGGGGCGGCTGCTGCTGGCTGGGAGTGCTGCTGGTGATGTCGTTGGTGCGTCCAGAAAATCCGCCGTCCATCTGCATCTCAGAGTTGTTGTTACTGTCGATGTTGTCATTCTGCATTGCGGGTGCGGGGAAGGTGCCCCACAGAGAGGCGTGAGGGTTGGTGTTGGTCATGTTGGCGTCATTGAAGGTGGCACCTCTCTGAGACAAAAAGAGAGAGACAATGCTCACGTGTCACGTCACGCAGAGCTCTTTGTGTGCTGGTGGATGGCCTACGAAGTGCTCGATCTCGTCTTCCTGCTCGATCTCTTCCTCCTCTGATCCTCCCTTGTTGGACCCCTCAGGCTGTGCATATTGAACACCCGGACGACCTCCGTAAGGTGGAAGATCTCCACCGACTGCAGCATCGGGGATGTGCTGTCGCTGGAATGGCTCGAAGAAGGAACGGGGCGCTGGCTCTGGCTCCTCCGGTGCTGGGTGCAGCTTGGCTACATCCTGGCACATCCAACACAACACACACAGACAGACAGACACAGACAGCAGCGATCGACCCATGTGCACCTATTCCTGGACGCATTTTCTCTCTCCCTCCCCCCTCCCTCTCTCTCAGCCGACCTGTTGCTGTGCGGTTGCCGTCTCCTCTTCCTCTGTGGCTCTGTCCACGTAGAGGTCGTCATACTCGTCCCTCTCCCCCTCCCCGTCTCCATCGCCATTCTGCTGTCCAGCAGCCATCGGGACAGCCACACTCACAGACGCAGATGCAGACGCAGATGCACTCGATGTAGTGGGCGGGTGTGACAGACGTTTGAACGCCTCCCCGCCGATCTCCCGCATGTTGGCATTCTGTACGGCGGTGCTGATTTCGGCAGCAAACGTCTCGAGGATCCTAAACACACACACACACACACACACACACAGAGAGAGAGAGAGAGAGATCCATCAATCCATTCATCCATCCATCCATCAAGCTCGCTTACTCTCTGGCGGTGGGTTCGGGCAAAGTGTGCAGTGCCGGCAGCAGATGGGCCAGGAACGTCCCAAAATCCCACCGTTCCCCATTGATGAGCTGTGCCAGATGAGGCAGCGTCTCGGCGATCTCTGACATGGGTGCGGGTAGAGACAGAATGTGACTAAGTGTGTGTGTGTGTGCATGTGTGAGTGCCGTCTGACCGCGTGACGCCGTCTGGTATCCGTCCAGCTGTGCGGCGAGTATCTGTAGTGGGCTGCCGATCATGGGTACCCAGAACACGCCCATAGTGTCGAACAATTGGCTGTTCTGGGTGACCATGTTCTCAAACAACGGCGTCAACAGGAGACTCGACAACTGCAAACACACAGCCAGACAGCCATCCATCCCTGTCGCGTGTCAGTCAGTCAGTCAGTCAGTCAGTGCACGTTGTATGTGTACCATGTGAGGCGTGTTGAGCATGCTTGAAAGCATGGAAGCCACCTGAGGCGGGTTGGCGCCCGTGTCACCTCCGGTGGTCTCGTCCCGTGTGCTCACGCCCTCATCAACCATCACATGGCCTGAACCACCACCACCACCACCACCAGCAGCAGCGGCGGTGGCAGCGGCTGGTGTCGTCTCTTCATCTGTGCTTGCGGTGGGTGTTGGCACGAGCTTCAGCTTGAGCAGCGGGATGTCAGATTCCTTTTGAGTCTCACGAGCCACCTGACAACCACAATCACGATGTACCGACCCTTTTCCTGTGCTCTGTCTGTGTGTGGGTGTCTCCCTCCCTCCCTCCCTCCCTCCCTCCCTCAGGCACCTGCAGTGCGTCATCGACAGTCGACGGAGTAAGCCGGCACCAATCGCCCTAACGAACGAACAAAAACACAAATGCTTTTCCTTTCCTTCTCCCCCAATCTGCCCGCCAGGCTTCGGCGGTTTCGGACCTCCTCATCACGGTACTGGATGATGTATCCTGATCCCCCATCCGGCGGCACGCCATAGCTGTCCCATACCGTCGCTATCAGCTCTCTGTGGAAGGCAATTTGTGTTGGACCATTGTCGATGTTGAACCGGAACCGGCGGATGTCGCCCTGGAAGTCAACTTTCGCCAGAATTTGCTGCTGCTGCTGCGCCATTGTGTGCCCTGCTGCTGCGAGAGCAAGTCGCGAGGCAGAACGGCGGCGTGATGGGGTGAAGCAAGGGATGAGCGGGAGGGCAGATCTGATGCTGGGCACACACAACAAGGGGTCAACTGCTTTCTGCCTTGCGAACGAAGCACTTAAGGGCCTTTGACTAAGCTCGCAAACGTTTGAGCTCGCAAAGAAAGGGCGGGGAAGGAGGTGCGATGTCCTCTTTTCTGGTGGTGCTGTGTGTGTGTGCAGATCTCTTCGTCAAGGGCAAGATCACGGCGTGACTGTCACTGTGACTCATTCGGTGTCGTTATGGGGACGTCGTGGAGATATGCTCCTTTCTGGTGTAGTTATGGGAGGGCCGGCTGCTATACTGCTCACGGTATTCCTACAGCTCTTCGGCCTCTGCTCTTCTGCCGTTGTCAGCGCACCGCCATGAACGGTGAGGTATCCACGTTCACTTTCGCACGCCCCTCCCTCATACACTGGCTGAGATCTGCCACTTGTGCTGATTTGCAGCCGGTCTGACTCCTGGGTGGCGAGCGTTCCTTCTGCGTGGCCTTCACGACCACTGGGACGATGTCGAGCTCGATCGCCATCGCTCTCAGTCGCTGGTTGACCCGACGGACGTGACCGCGCCACCGAAGCATCGCCAAGCGTGGCTCACCGCGGCGAGTGCCGAGCGCATCACGGGTCAGCAGGGGTGGCAGCTGGCGCTCCTCCCGGCGGCCATCGACCAGGACGCCCGGGAGCGGCCCCCCTTCCGCCACCTGTTCCGGCTGCAAGTGTTCCGCAAGCCGGCGATGGACATGCATGAGGAGCAAGCCACCAACTTCAACGACGAGTGCAGAGTGCGTGTGTACAAGGAAGGGCGGCTGGTGTGTCAGGTGCCTTATGTGCCGGTCAAGAAGAGCAAAAAGGGCGACAAGCTGTGCGCGACGTGCGTGGTGCCGTGTGCTGATGGCACCGGCGGCATCTGCGGCAAGCAGAACACCTTCGGCAACGTCGTCAACTCGCACCTGCGCAAGACACACAAACTGACCAACGAGGATGCGCAGGTATGTGTGTGAGGACATGTCTGCACACGGACGGCTCCATGTGTGCCGTGTTGTGCTGCGTGGTGCCTGCAGCGGCTTCTTGCCTCTCTTGGGCTATCGGCGCCGATGCGATGCGGTGCGGGAGATGGATTGAATGTGTTGTCTATCCACCGTGTCGGTCATTCCGCAGATGTGTACCACGACCATGGGTCGCTGCAAGGTCAGGGAGCAGCCGACGAATATGCAGCAGGTGAGTGGGTGGAGATGCCTGCATGGGCAAATGTGTAACGGTCGACTGTGTGTCTGCTATAGGTGACGCTGGGTGGTCCGGTGTGAGTCATCCACCAATGGCTGCGGGCCAGCCGATTATGTTTGCCGGCTCGGTGATCTACCCGTCCACCGACGACGAGAGCGCACCGTGAGTCGGCACATGCGACGCGTGCACATGGCATATGGCAGTATGTGTATGTGTGTATGCAGGCCACCACTGGGTCTTCTGCGGGTCGACGACATGGATTTGGCGCCATCCAACAGTGACCTCAACGAAGGCATCGCTCCCTCCTATTTGCAAGGCCATGAGACGCTCCTCGGTCATGAAGTTGGGGGTTTGATGCAATAGGTGGTGACATGACGGACGACACATTCGTGACAGACACGGCGCTGACGACGTCCGTGTGTCTGTATTCTTTCTTTCAGGATGGAGACTTTGAGGATCACGGCAAGTGGCCTGCCGATGAATGGGCCAATAGCCTGATTGGCACCCAGCTGGATGCTGATGGTGCTCTCATGCACCAGTACTGAGTGCAACTTGTGTGCGTGTGTAGTGAGTGGATGTATGTGTACGTGTGTATGTTTGTGTGTGCATGGATGGATGGATGGATTGACTGGATGCATGGCGACTGATTGAATGTACCTTCCACACCATCGGCACGGAAGCGATTGCATGTCCCCCTTCCCTCCAGCCAGACACTACAGGCAGACAGATAGACAGACAGACAGACAGAAAATACACACGGAAAACGGGTAGTCACTGACTGCTGCAATCTCAAAGTCTCAGCATCTGACTGTGTCTGTCGCTCTTCGACTGCCGGGCGGCTACCGAGATGCACACAAGAGAGGGAGAGGAGGAGGGGCGATGGACGTACTGACACATCAATGCGGCCACACAACCGATCAGCGCTTTTGCTGTGAGCCGCATTGATGTCGATACGCAAACACCGATGTTTGTGTGTCTTCTTCCCCGCCTCTCTGTCACTTCCCCTGTGGGTCTGCCCGTACATCGCTCTCCCTGCTGCTGACGGCCATGTGTATGTCACCGTCACATGGCTTTCACCAGCTGGCCTGTATGTATCTATGTGGGAAGAGAGAGAGAGACTGTTCTGTGTTCTGTCTGTAATGGTGTCTTGGGGTTTCCTTCGTGTGTATGTCCCTCTCCTCCCTCTCTCTCTCTCTCTCTCTCTCTCTCTTCTCTCTCTCTCTCTCTCTCTCTGTGCATCTCAATCCCTGTCTGGCAACTCCCGAGTATCAGCACACGAAGGGTCTCAATGCTTCTTCGTGAACTGAGTGAATATATGGACACACACGCCGGCTACTGTTGTCCTTTTGCCTTCCCTCTGTATACCCACATAACTCCCACATACATGCACACACGCATGGTATGAGTGGATGCCAATGCATTTGTAAATGAATCGACGATGAACGTGTGTGTGTGACATGTAAAGGGCTTAGGGCTTGGGGTATAGGGTATAGGGTGTAGGGTATAGGGCTTAGGGCTTAGGGCTTAGGGTTTTAGGGCTTAGGGCTTCAGGGTATAGGGTGTAGGGCTTCAGGGTATAGGGTGTAGGGTGTAGGGGTGTAGGGGTGTAGGGTGTAGGGTGTAGGGCTTAGGGTTTTAGGGCTTAGGGCTTCAGGGTATAGGGTGTAGGGCTTCAGGGTATAGGGTGTAGGGTGT